AGGAAATAAAATGAGTCACTCACGCAAACAAGATTAACTTGAGACGGTTGACATTATGTTGGCAGCTTGGGTTTTTAATAACTACTGGCAACACCTTAGATACTGTAACTAGAAAATGCATTTCCTGCTGAAAATGCGTACGAATGCTGTAAACCAGGGGTGCCCAATACGTCGATCGCGATCGACCGGTCGATCGCAAGGGTAGTGTGGGTAGATCGCATGGCATTTAAAAAAAAAGAAGAAAAAAAACCATTTAAATTATTTTTAATTTTTTTAAAGTTAGCCTATCATCCATCCTTACTATGGCATTTGCCGCTTGATTGAAGTACAGGTAAGCCAGTCTGAGTGGTATTGTGCCATACGGGTTCATACAGTTATGAGGGGGCCTCACCTCCTCATCTGAAGCTCAAATGCGGCGCACTATTATTAGCTTATGCGGCGCAATTAGTGTAAACGCGCCACAGTTTATCCGCCGTGTAGTCCACTAGATAAAATATGTGGAACGTGTTGAAGTCAGTATGAAGTCTCCATCATTTAATTTAATTGTATATTTGAAGAGGGACAATGCACATTGATGAACATTTTTAACAATTAATGCTTCAAAATGTAAATATGCCGGATTTTAGCTTTTAGCTAATTTCCATCCGTAGTCCCTCACATACAACATTTAAGAACATGACATTTGTATACATAGCAAAAATAAAGACATGATATGCAGAAAGAGCATGAGCAGCAAATACAAGCATTAACCACATGGCAGTACAATGTAGCAGCTACGACATATAAAGTGCAAGAGAAGATACAAGAGCTACATAAAGTGCAAGAGGAGATACCCCTGTGTTAAAGTGCATTTAGCGGTGATTGCACGTTTGTCTGTTTCTCAACCATTCTTTGAGTTGACCTTTAAAACTGTTCAAAGTGGGACAATCCTGTATCTCAGTTGGGAGGCTATTCCACAATGAGCTGCCTTTAATTGATAGAACATTTTGACCGAAGGTGGTCCGTCTACGCTGGACTCCTCTGGTTTCTGACCTAGTGCAGCATCCAGTGTGTTTTTTGTGGATGAATTCCCCTAAGGGGGGGGGGGGGGGGCAGTCCATGTAAACATTTATTTAAAAAAGCACATACTTTTAAAAGACTTAAAATTGTCAAAACTCAAGAAATTGTGTTTTTCAAGGATGGTACAGTGGTGGTATGAATTTGGCTTTCTGTCAAACACCTTGATAGCTCTCTTGTACAGCTGTTCTATTGGTTTAAGGTGTGTGGCACAAGCAAACGACCAGTTTGTCAAACAGTATTCAATATGGGATAGAATCATACAGTGGAGGTATGACTTTGCAGCATTGACAGTTAAGAAAGGTCTAATTTGTTTAAGATTTTGCAAGTTGAATTTAATGGTGTTGGATACTTTCTTAATATGTTTCTTAAAAGTCAAGTTTGAGTCCAATATGACTCCAAGATACTTGAAGTGGGAGACTAGTTCTATTTCTGCTCCGTTTAAAAACACATTGGATCCTTCGATTTTGACTGGTCGTTTACTGAACATCATGCATACTGACAGAAAAGAATAGGCTGAGACAGTCTGTTAAGCTGGCTACACACCAACCCGATTTTGGGAGTCAGAGGCCGTCAGAGGCAGTCGGGCATTCGCGGCGCCTACTCAGGTTGGTGTGTCCCGCACCGTCGTCTCTTTACGGCACCTTTTCACACCTCCCGCGGCCGATTGAACCAACACACTCTCACTCCCTAAGCGTCCAGGAGCGACGCTTGGTCAGGGTCCCGTGGCGTCCAGTTGTGACGCGCCGAGGCTCCTTCAGCTTCATAAACGGATGCAAAGAGCTTTCAACTGATTGCAATGTATTCCCATCGGCGTCGGTATTTGACGCTTAGGGAAGCACGGCATTCGTTTGTGTCGGAGGCTGTTAAAGGCAATGTGAGCGTCCATTCCCATTGGATAACGGAGAATTGTACACCCGGAAGTAAGTATTCCCCTTACTGTCAATTGATTTGACAGTGATATCTCCACTACTCATCAACTCAAAAACACCAGATTATCCTTGTTAATTAAATAACATTGATAGGTACAATGCTTTTGTCACGTTTTCCCCTTCAATTCTGAGAAACAAGTCGTTTTCTATGAGTTTTGGATGGCCTCTCTACCAATTGGATCAAATATAAAAGTCAGCCGAATTAGTATTGATACTGCAAGGAGACGTATTGTGTGAAAAGAAATGTAAGATGTTGTTTAATTGCTTATATATTTAAGATCCACGTCAAGTTTTCAGTTTTGGCGGCAGTTCCTGTTTGTCTAGAAGTCTTGTCATCAGGGCAGAGTTAACTACGGCAGATATGTCATATTTAATGCAGCCGAAACGTGTATTACAATGCCGTTATGTGATGACTTTCAAAGAGAAAAGCAAGCACACTCGGAATAATGTATTATTTAATTGTTTTATACAGTCTATGGTTGCTACAGAGGATTGTGGGTAATGTCATGTCTTCGACCATCCAAAACTCATAGAAAACGACTTGTTTCTCAGAATTGAAGGGGAAAACGTGACAAAAGCATTGTACACACACTAAAACCTATCAATGTCGTTTAATTAACAAGGATAATCTGGTGTTTTTGAGTTGATGAGTAGTGGAGATATCACTGTCAAATCAATCGACAGTAAGGGGAATACTTACTTCCGGGTGTACAATTCTCCGTTATCCAATGGGAATGGACGCTCACATTGCCTTTAACAGCCTCCGACACAAACGAATGCCGTGCTTCCCTAAGCGTCAAATACCGACGCCGATGGGAATACATTGCAATCAGTTTGAAAGCTCTTTGCGTCCGTTTATGAAGCTGAAGGAGCCTCGGAGCGTCACAACTGGACGCCACGGGACCCTGACCAAGCGTCGCTCCTGGACGCTTAGGGAGTGAGAGTGTGTTGCTTCAACATGTTGAATCGGCCGAGGTCAGAGAAAGTCGGCCCAAGCAATCACTCTGATTGGCTGTTCACACTACCGCTGCCTGCTGGTAAGGACAGTTATTGCCACTCGTCAACTGAAGTATTTGCGGTGTGTTCGTAGGCGGGGGGCGTAGCCGACGCAGGCGACGTAGCTGACGTAAAAGTCGGGACGCCTTCGGTAGGCGTTCTTTGGTCTCAGGTGGGTGTGTAGCGGCCTTTAAACTCCAGTCTGTGTGTTTGTGTTTGAGGTGACGACGTTATCAAACACCTGTGTGTGAGCCCAGAGATCAAAGATTACCATGGAGATGTGCAGTGAATGGAGAGCCTTTCCATTGATCTGAATGAGAGATAAACCTCTTACATTTCTAACTATAGTTTAAAAATGGTAGCAGCTATCGGTAAAATGTCAACGTGTCAGGACCCTGACGAGCGTCTCAGTCTGCTTTTTGTGTACTTTCGGGTCAATAATGTGGCATTTTTGGCAGATTTACTAAAGGTGTGCAGCTGGTGCTCTGAGGAAAGATCAGGCTGAATTTACAATGGGCCTTAATGGAGACATGTTGAAAGTTTTTGTCACTTCATGCCCTCAAGAGGCATTTTGTTTAATTTTTTTGCTTATTTTATTTTATTTTTCAACGTAGGAGAGGTGTTCCTAAGTTGTTCATGAAAAATGATGTCCAAGGAGTGTCGGGTTCGGGAATTATGGCAGGTTTAAAAAAATGTAAGGAGAATTTCAAGCTCTGCTCCACTCTAGCTGTGACACCACGCACTCTAAGCCTTAACGAGCTGCGCAATTAATGTTAAAATCTGAAGAAGGCCTCTTTACCAAGCTCCAAACTAAGTTAAATATCTCAAAAAGTGTAAAATATATCAAAAATCTGAATACAATTTCAATAGCTGAATTTCTTGTGATCATTTTAAAGTTGGAATGAAGTCTCTAGCTGAAAGTATGTGGAAGGAGTAGCATTTGGCGCACAGTGTAGGTACAAGAGGATTTGAAGGTTCCTCCCATTGAGTTACATGTTAAAAAAAGAGTTTAAAAAGCTGAGTATTTCAAAAAGTATAACATATTTTGAAAAGGTTGAAAGTTTCCCATCATGTGCTGAAAAGGCTGAATATGTTGATATTTGAATCGTTTCTGTAGCTGAAGGTATGCTGAAGTTATTGAGAGCCAAACTATTTGGTGAAATAAGAAAAAGAAGATAAACAGCATTTGCACTAATTATCTGCAACAATGATGCTTAAATCTGTTATAATGAAATTATACCCTATGATGTCATTGCGTCTTCTTTTCCTGGATTCATGGCGACTAGGCAGTAGATGTGATTATTAAGAAGTTTTGTAATGTAAATTGCGTCTCTGGGACAATAAAGTTTAAATCTTCCACATACAATCCAGGACAAGTGTGTTCCAAAGATGTCGGATTTGAGGTGAAAGGGACGGCCTTACATGGTTTATTTTTATTATTTGCAGACACTACAGTTTCTGGAAAAAGTCGAGGGGATCATTTTTCAGCAGGGGGAGTATTTGTCTCACTTTAGGTTCTCCGACAACAACTAAGATTAGATCAGTATATGATGTACACTGTAAAGGAAATGTAAAGTAATGTAAATGCAGTATGAGATAATGTCGATATGTGCTGCTGTTTTCAGCCATTACAAGTCAAAGGAAACAACACCTTTTCACAACAACACCAACTCTGATTGTCCTGAGACCCACTTGACTTCAGTGAACGTTGGTCGTGGTTGATTTTTTTATGGACATTATAACTGCAAAATATATGGTAGAATACACAGCTAGAATAAACATACTATACTATAGTTGACAATGCAGCCTCGTACATTTGAATGTTGTAGCAGTACTTCTGTAAACACATCTGAGTTACGTACAAAACTATCTAAAGTCTGTACCCCTTTGTTTGAGGAACTGAATATGAAACTTCGCGAATGAAACTAATATTAGATTATTGAGCGGCCGAGAAAAAAACGGTTCTGCTTTGTTGATAACAAGTCTCATCACACTTACATGAAGTCTTAAAGCTGTTCGGGGGGGGCGGGGGCTACAGGTGCCCGATGGGCCCGGATAAATATAAGCTGCACTCACAGTTCCCCTGTGCAGACCTCAGGAGGGACATTCAGATAAACACCTGAAAATATCTGACGATGGCCATGCTCAAGATCGCTCTGCTTCTCGCCGTTTGTCTTGAAGGCTGTGGTGAGACTTATACTTTATTTTACTAAGATTATCCTAACAAAGTCAATCGTCAAAAAATGAGAGATAAGACATGTAACAATGAGGAAGATTAATTAAGAATATTTCCCCCTGCAGCTTTGGCTTCAGCTTTGCAAGTTGATGCTGTGCAAAGTGTTCCTGACGACCAGAGAGCAGTAAGTACATCATTTAAAAAACTTCTTGCAACAAAAATATAATTTGGAATTAAAACACACTTGATTATGATGTTGAGGTTTACAATATGTTTGCATTGCATATCCTACTGATTAAGAACTCTGAACACTCAGATATAGTTTATGCAAATACAAATTGTATTGTGTGGTTAAATTGTATGGTGTAATGCATTTAACAACCTTTTGCAGTGAATGAAGAAGTGTTCATATTATTGACATAAGTAAAAGTAATCAAAAATCAACAAAGTGATACTGTAATAGCAGAGTGAAAAACACTCAACAGAATAAATGTCCTTAAAGTATCGACGCAAAAGTATGTGTGTTGCCCCTAGGGCAGATATAGTAGTAAATAGGACATTAATAGTCAGTTAATACTGACGCATCAATACATAATCGTATAAGGTGGCAAATGTTGAGCTTATTATACCAGTATTAAAAACAGTTAGGTAGTTCAACCATGGCAGATTTTTAGAGTGATTATCATTCTTTAAAACAGGCCACAACTAGACACTGTCGAGTCACATGTAAAAGTTTTGATTTAAAAACTATACATTGTATTTCACTGACCTTAAAAAATGTAAAAAGAAATCTTAAAATGTAAAGTACTAATATGTATATCCACCAAATGAATGCTGTTGAGTAAAAGGTTAATTATTTCTCTGAATTGTAGTGGAATACAATTATTGAGGGTACAATAAAAAAGAAAAGTGTAAAGGAAAGTGCAAGTGCATCAACAATTGTACAGTACTTACATAAACATTAGTTACTTTTCAGCAATGCTATTTTGGAGGAGCTATGGTAGTGCTTCAGGAGGACAATATGATACTTCAAGGCCATCATTCCATTTTTAGCAAAAAATGTAGAATTAATGGAAATGTTCACATGAATTAAAAGCAATTAGACACATGTAAAGACGTGGTTGACTTCTTACTAAGAGAACTGAGATTTGCATTTCTTCAAAATCAGGAAGTCTCTTCATGGCTGAAGCTCCACAACTTTCACATGGTTTTATACTGTTTCGATTGTGACCATAGCGGAACTGATACAGCCATACACTAGTTATTTCCTTGTAAATCATACAAAAAACCTTAAAAATAACAAGAAGTGCCTTTCACAAATGTATCTCATGCTCACATCAACTTAGAATAAGGAACCTGGAATGTGTAAGTGTTCAAATCTATTTCAGATGTTTATATATTTTCATGAGGTGTCTTTACTTTATACTCAGACTGGGGATGTCTGCCAGGACTGCACTAAAATAATTGAACTCCTTGTTGACATGATCTCCAACGCAGACCTCCAGGTGAGTACACAAGTCAACTAAGCAGTACAAGTGTTCAAGAGGATTTAATTATATAATTGATATTAGTTTTGTCCATATTCAAGTCACGATTACACACAGTGCATCTCAAATGCTACATTTCACCCAATAATAAAACATTAACTTCCACCTGTTCTTTTATCAGTTGAAAATCATTCTTGACATTCAGAGATGCAAATCATTTGAGATCAGGCATGCATTACAGTGGTATTCAAGCATGCACAAAGTAAAGGTTCTCTTTTCTTTTTTTATGCAAAACCACTTCTCTTTTTTCTATTTCTACAAAAAGTTTAAATGAAATTTCACAGGTTTTTCTTGTTTCTCACCTGACCCCAAAGATCCTCTTTCCTCTGAGCTCGTTCTGGTCTTTGGAGATAAAACTGTAATTGTGAATAAAGAGTTCAGTTCAGTAATTATAAATACCCAGAAACATTTTGTTTACCAATATTGAAAATAATGCATAGTGCTTTATAAGGCAAAGTAAAGATGGAACAACAGGACGTGTACAAAATAGAACCTGTTACTTTGAGTGTCACATTGGAAAATTACATTTATAAGTCGAAAAACAATGTGAGACCTGTGGGGGAAACTTCTGAAGCAATTGGAAACAGGACTCAGAGAGCTGGAGCTTTGATGGCAAACACTGGTGGTTTATTTGGAGTTACAGCCGGAGAATTGACAAGACAGGTGGTGTGTCACGAGTTGACACAGCAGTTGCCAAACCAATTCTGAAGAACTCTTCTGCAGCTCGATGTTTTAACTAGTTCGGAGTGTGATAATCAACATTCTTTATCAGTGAGACTAAACAATTATGGACCCTGAATCTAACTAGAGCTCTCGTCCATAGAAAAGAATTTGTGCCAGGGAACCTACGTCCCTGAACAGTAAACTACCTCATGGCGGCTTGTGCTCTGTCATAGACTGGCAACAACAATGCGCCCAAGCTGCCCCTCCTTAAGAGAGATAGCAGCAATACCCAAGGCTGTAGACCTATGTAATGGAAAAGGAGACAGTGAGAAGAGAAAATGATGAACTGTGTCGAAGGTTGAATACCTAAGCAAATTATTCCCTAACAAGACCTTGCTGTAAACCAGGGGTGTCTAACTCAAATACACAGTGGGCTAACATTTATTGAAATGAACTTATTGCACATATTAAACCTGGAACTAACAAAGCTTAAATGATTGCCTATAAAAACAACATTAAACATTAAAGGGGACCTATCATGCAAAATGCACTTTTGTACGTCTTTTATACATGAATATGTGTCCCCGGTGTTCCAGGGAACTCACCAAGTGTCAGAAAACACAACCCTCTCTATTTTCCTCCATACCCAAATCTCTAAAAAAGGGGCTGCAACGGATCTGATAAAAACTGATCCAGATTTGAACACTTTACTGACGTCAGGAAAGTAGCGCTACGGCTATTGGGCCAACTCTCCACCTATCAGGGGAATGTGGGGTTGGGCCACGGCCGGCCATTGCCGCTCGAAAGCGCTGGAGACGCTGTAGTACATATGCCAGGCCTGTAAGTGGCGCTGTAGTCTGCCACAAAAGCAGCGAAGAAGACTTCCCGCGCATGGTTACCATGGTTACCCTTCTGTTTATTCTCCGCTGTGGTTTTTTTCTCCCTCCCATCTTCCGGACAAAATTAGAAAAGTGCCGGTCAAAGGTCTTCTTTGTTATTTATTGAGCTTTAAAACAAATGAATAACGACTCTATAGGCCTATAATAATATAATAAAACCATAGACTGTATATATAAATAAAACACGGAGGACGGAGATCTTTTTTTCTCCCCCTCTTGACTTGATCAGAGCACGGCTACCCTCTCCTGCAGGGGGGCGTGATCTCACAGAATCAGCCCCGTAGACAGCAAACAGCACATAGAGCGAAATGAGGCATGGCTAAAATGCATGATCTGTTTGGTATTTTGAAAACAGAAACGTATAAATATACCTTATATAGGTATGGCCCTACAATATATCATTTAAATATAGCATGATAGGTCTACTTTAAAGATGATACAAATGACAGTTGAAAAAATGTGGTGGTGTAAAAAGTTTTAAAAAATCGTAGAAGTAGTAAATAAGAGATACTCAAGTAAGTTGCATCAAGGTTTAACTTAAGTACAGTTGAGTAAAAATACTAGTTACTCTCCACCCCTTTTAAAGACCACACACCTAATGCAGAACTGTATTTCAGAAAAAGATGATGGATGGCATTGAACATGTGTGTGACCTCCTGCCTGGGCCAGCTACCACTGCCAAAGTCTGCAAAGACCAGGTGGAGAAGCTGTTCCCAGTGGCCCTCAACTTCATTGTTGGTTTTGTGGTAAGTAAACGTGTGTCATATAGTCTCTAGTTTGCCTTTAGTGTGTCTGATGCTAAAGAGAGGTTTATGTCTTGATCACATCTTTTGTAGAAACCAGCAGATGTCTGCAATGCGATCGGTCTCTGTGGCTCCGGTGACGAGCAGGAGAAGATGCGCAGCTTTTTGGTCAAGGAACTCCTTCAGTTGGCTCTGACAAACGAAAATGTCAGTAAAGTACAGCAAGTACTCCTCTAATAAACAGTATACGTTACATTAACACACATCTTGTTACATCTTCTGAGCCATTACTTATATGCAATAGTCTGAACCTTGCACATTTCTGCACAATCTTTAAAACAGCACAGCCCTGCTACATTGAAATTGTATTTTTTTGGACAATTTTTTCTTATTTTATCTCGTTTTAGATTTGTAAACAGTTTTTGTAACAATTCTCCAACTAAATTCCTTTTACTGTATTATGTCTGCACCATTATACACCAAAGATAATACCTTAAATGTGTAAACCTACTTGGCAAATATCCTAATTCTGATTCTGCTAGAATGGACACATTTGAAAAGATGATATCATATATGGACCATAGGTGTTGACAGGCTCTTTGGGCTTTACTCCCTCTGCTGTTTGTGTCAGGTGCAGCCCACAGTCACATGCCCCTTCTGCCTTCTACTCATCAAGACTTTGGAGGAAATGCTGCCAAAAGACAGGACTGAGGTGAGTCACGCTCATGCAGTCAAGGAACACACACAAACAATATCCCTTTGTTCTGCACACCCACACAGACATGCAGATAACTCTAGGCAGCACTGACGACTTTAGGACGTCTATGACTTTTGCAGGATGCTGTGATCAAGCTGCTGGGGGAGATCTGTCATATTTTGCCATCCAAGTTCAGACATCAGTGCGAGGACATCGTTGGCAAGTTTAGCAAGACTGTGCTGGATGCAATTGTGAGCCAAGCCACCCCTCAGACCATCTGCACTCTGCTCCATATGTGTGGCGGGCAGGAAGCTCCTGTTGTGGGTGAGTCTGGTTCCCCCCCAGGGATGTGTGCAGGGCTTCATCTTCAAACTTATTTTAACAAGGGTTCTCTAAATCAACCACATACAAGCTTGATGTTGGATAACTTAATATCAAAAAGTAGGGCCTGAATGCCTTATCTGGTTTTCAACGTAATGTCAAAAACGACCAACATCCTAAAAGTGTATCATAAAAATGTGGATAAAACTTGAAAAAGTCCAATTATGACACCTTCTTGCAGGAAACCAAAACACATGCAAAGGGGCTTTCAGGTGGCCAAATGAAACACACCATTACTTGACTTAAGTTTCCGATTTCCCATGTTTGACCATCTTTGGACACATTTGGTATAAGTAAGCACACAACTCAAGAACAAATACAACACATGTCTACTTATGTAGAGATTGCACATATTATATCTTTAAGTTATCCCAGTATTACATCTTACCCGTGGGAAAGCAGGAAAAAACCCAAACACAAATATTAACTTGATAAAGGATGACTAATCAATGATCAAAATTAATAGATTTTCTATCAACAAATAATTCAAATATCACATGTCCGTTTTTGTTGTCCCTCTCAGACCCATGCACTTTGGCAACATACAGGTGCAGAGACATGGAGACTGCCTTCAAATGTGGAGTAAGTCAAACAAAAACAAAACTCTCTCTAAACACGGTTAACTTCTGAATGCTAAGTAGTGATTACCTCTGCTTTCTCTACACCACAGACTGTTTTCTACTGTCAGAAATTTGCCTGGAATCGTTACAACACACTTTAAAATGTTAAAGTAAGTGGATTTCTACTAGAACTTACATTTGTGTTATTAAAAATAGAAAACACAGCAGCAGAAACATTTCTCCCTTTTCTCTTTTCAGGATTGGACTGATTTCAATGTTCCCATGGACGACCAAGATCTTTCACCAGCAAGCTGCAAATATTTCCCTTATTGCTCGGCCCGTGCCATTCTCTATGATAAATAACCTTTCCAGACACTGATCGATATCTTGTGCATTTTTTGATTTTGCATCGCCTGCCAGGACCTAGCTTGACCAAATATCATAAACAAGAAGGTGATTTGAATTGTAATGGCATTAAAAGTACTAACAAACAGATACAAAGCTCAACTCTAGGAAGAGAAAGTTGAATGATTAGGATATAAAAATGAAAGGTCTTCACAAATATTCTGTTTACTTGACAAGATTTTTGTACCAATCTTTATGTACATAGTTTCATTGCTTTGTCTGCTGTTTAGTTTATTTTCTTAATCCTTCATACAGTCAGATGATCGCAGGAGAATTATCTGAATAAATGTTTAAAATCACTTCATCCTTCTCCTCTTCTGCCAATAAACAGCTTAAAAAAAATGATGTTTCTACCGTAAATTATTTTGTCAGACTGTGAATGTATGGGCAGCTGTTTGGTGTAAATCAATAACTAGTAATACATGAAACCGAATGTAAGTACTGCAAAGTGCTTCACTTTCAAAGTGAAGTGAATTCTTTCATAAAACACAAATTATTTGTCTGAGTGTAAAGGTATGTATGGGTATTCATATGAAAGCCAGAATATTTCTACAATGCACCTCTGCCTCAGAAGGTGGTCCTCTTCGAAGCATCTGTATACTGTAGTTCATGTTTTAGTATATATACTTCAAACAACATTTTGTCATTTGTTGTTGTATGATCAATTCAATTGTTAAAGGATTATAAGAAAGTAAAGGTGAAGTCAGTGTAGAGTATGGTCTTAAAACTAAATGACCAGCATCCGTTTCATGATACAAAATAAAAAGCCAAAAGGACAGCAATTGAGCAATAGAGAAGAGTGCAGTTTATTTTTAAATGGTATTGAAAGAGGAACTCAACAACTCAGACTCATCAGTGTGAATTGTTGAAGCAGGAGATTTTACCACATCAGTTTAGAAGATCGGGCCGGATTTAATTAGGCAAGGAGTAGGATATTTTGGGGATAGGGATAAGGGCATTGCAGCAAAAGAGAAAAGGCACTTTTACACATCCAGCAACCGCAGTGAAACTTCATCAAGTTATACAAACGATTGAACAGTAAATAATGTTACCCAACCACAGGAGAGAACGTAAACAGGCTGGTTTCTCTGTACAACACCAACCAAGCATTTGTCTCGTCTGTGGAGGAGCAACAGGATGCAAACATATTGTTAACAAATATTTGAGAGGTAAAGTTATTACAGTGAATGATCACTTGGTTACAAGCTTAATTAGGAATGCTCTCAGCCCTTTCTGTGGTTCCTTTCTGTGTTGCAGTACACTCGAGGATCCACAAGGCGATGCTAGAGGAGCCAAACTGAATCAGTGACATCAGAGCAGAAAACAAATCTTTATGTCAGTATTATATGAGAAAACATTGCCACCTGGCTACACACTGAGGAAATTTTTTTTAGACACGCAGCTCAGACAAAATACCAAACGTGATGATCTAAAGTTGAAAACCGACTTCACTCGGGCTTGCAGCTGGCTTAGCAAATATATTGTGAAGATACTCATCCGAGAGTAAAGTCAAAGGGACGCATTGAAATGCATATACAGTGTATACACAACGTATTCGGGGTCAATCTGGCCAGGGTCCCTGGCACACATCACCCAACTTTATCTGCATTTCCGCACTAAACCCTCATTAAAGCCAGGACTTATTGGTTAGTTACTAGCTAATTAATAATTTTAAAAAAGAGACTTGTGCCATCCATAACGGTTTGGTATAAGAATGCCGTTTTAAAAACATAAATAATAAAGAAAAAGAAAAGCTGAATATTCATTTAGGAACTACTCTACAGTACACACAACATTGAAATAGAGGCCTTTTCCACTTTTGGTAACTCTAAGAACCAATGTGCTGTGCAATTCAAGTTAAACCGAACAGTAGCATATTCGGACCCCTGTCAGCATGAGTACAACACCAACTGCTGGGAAGACAAGAGCAGTAATGTAATGTCTTACATTCACTGTGCACTGTTTGTCTGTGGCCTCATCTTCCACCATACAAATCTACCTTTCACATTGTGTGCACGTGAGACTAAAGGTGTCGGGGAGCCATATATTTAGATAAAAAAAATATAATATTGTGGCACACATTAATCAGCTGTCCATCCTTACTGGTCCCACAGTAGTCAAAGCCATTTTATAAAACAAGATGCTGCCCTGGAATAAAGGCAGCTCCTGCCTGGAGGCGACTGAGCTGGGTTTCTCTGTAGCTACACCCAGAGTCGGCTCAGGCAAGGTGTGTAGTGTACCACGCCTTTATCTTGGAAACATTGACATGATGTGGAACATTCACATGAGATTTAAACCAAGAAAATAAATTACAAAAATGTAGTGATTTTATGGTGCAGTCCAACAAAACCACAAGGTCATTAGCAGCTTCTGACTTCTCTGTAAAACGTCAGAAAGACAATGGCCTGAAGGGACAGCACGAATGAGAAAATGATCTGATTTTATATCAAATCAAGTCATGTGATTGATCCTGTTTGTGTCAGCAGAATTACACAAACAAAGGGTGAGGTTATGAGGGGAACAGAGCAGAGATTTTTTGCAATACTTGACTGCTTGTTACCAAACACAGCAAGGGGAAATGACATGAAAAAAAAACTGAGCACGCCAACTGCCACTGATCACTTGTATGACTATACTACAGTGAGATCCAGTTTGAATAGATCCAGATAAAAGCTAGTAGTAAAAGAAATATCCTGCACACCATGAATACTAGCAAACACCCATATGGATCACTATGGAAATCTTCTAGAAATAAAGTTTAAATACATACCGCAGAGATTAAGTGATTCTATTCTTAACTAGCATTATCGGGGATATAGATGGCCATTATTGATTCAAAATGTGGCGAGCTGCCAGAATAAAAGATAAACAAAAGCTGGCAGCACTGCTCGAATCTGTACGCGCAATTCTTCCAGCATGGTTGTTCAACTTCATACATGCAACTCAAATACTCTTTATGTTTAATAGAGATGTGTACAATACTAACAGGTGGAGAAAGGGAATGGTTTTCATGACGTAGAAGCTGCGCTGATGTGGCTGTGTGTGTGAGGAGGAAGAGGGAGGAGGATGATAAAGGAGGATGAAGGAGGGAGTAGACGGGCACAGGTTTATCTGTAGTACACCTCGTGCCCGCTTAAAGATTAGAGGAAGGGGTTCAGTATTTCAGAGCCTTTGGCACCTCCCATGTAAAGAGGTCTCGACCAAAGTGCCCGTAAGCTGCTGTGCGCTGGTAGATCGGCATCTTCAGATCAAGATCCCTAAGGCAGAAATAAAAACATCGTTTTATAGAGACCAAAAGTATGTGTAAAATGGGATCTTAACTAAACGAGAAATTAAACACCACAGGATACCTCACGATAACTCCTGGACGAAGATCAAAGTTCTTCATCACAATTTCCAGCAGCTCCTTCTCGCTCTTCTCGGACGTCCCATAGTGGAAGATGGAGACGGAGAGTGGATGGGCAATCCCAATGGCATATGCTACCTAAAACAGATGAACCCATTAAGATGTTTTTGTGAAGCTGGAGAGACATTTTAGATACTACTAGATAATACTTTAGATTAGATGCTGAGACCACAGCATATACAATACGTTTTTACACAACAAGGTTTCTCACTTTTTATTACATTCTTTATGCATTAGCATTACTAGTACTACTAACAGGAACTCTGTGATGGGGTAATTGGAGTAAACGGAGTAAACCATTACGTATTTTATTCCACATGCCATAAGACCGTTTTTTGGGTGGGATTACTGTTATTGCATTTTTGGAAGCATCTATAAGCCTACATGTCTGATTCTGTAATAAATCGATTTGGGGCAAGATATCACTTTACTTTGCTGTACACTCACCTGGACCAACACCCGCTTGCAGAGCCCTGATTTCACCAGAGATTTGGCCACCCAGCGGGCAGCATAGGCTGCAGAGCGATCTACTTTGGTGTAGTCCTTCCCAGAAAAGGCTCCACCTCCATGGGCACCCCAGCCCCCGTAAGTATCCACAATGATTTTACGGCCAGTTAGACCAGCATCACCCTGTGGGAAGAAAAACAGGAGTTATGAACATTTATGACAAACACAACTTTCATGATTTTATTCAGTTTTAAAGTGCTCTTGTCTCACCTGTGGTCCTCCGATGACAAAGCGTCCGCTGGGCTGCATGTGGTATACCGTTTCCTCGTCCAGGTAGCCACTAGGAATGACCGCTTTTACCACCTGCTCCTTCAGACATCTGCGCATCTCGTCCAAAGCGATAGCCTCATCGTGCTGCACAGACACCACAACGGTGTGAACACGCAGCGGCTGCATGGCGCCTCGATCCTGTCTGTACTGAACAGTCACCTGAGGGGAACAACAAACACAATAAAGAATAAGATTAGATAATAATACATTTATTGGTTTACTATTTTATTGTCAATCTCAATCTGCAAAGTAAATTATCAAATATGTTAGCTGTTACAAAAATGTTAGGCTGTAAAAACGTGCATGTAGGACAAAATTCAACCATGGTGTTTTTTCAGGAGACGCAGTGCTTAAAACCAATTAGAGCCAATGGGATCATTTATAAAGTGCCATTTAGTGTTGACTAACCCTCGCACCCCTTTTACTCCCGGCAGCCCATCTTATCCCACCAAAGCAAACCTAGGGTACGCACTGCAAATGCATATATTAAGTCTATACCACATTTACCATAAGTAATGTAAACACACCATTGTAAATGATGTGTTATTTCTTTGTCCTACCTGAGTTTTGGAATCAGGCCGGAGCCACGGCAGCGTCCCATCTCGGCGCAGCTCAGCCATCTTGGCATTGAGTTTGTGAGCCAGGACGATGGTGAGCGGCATACACTCCTCAGTCTCATCAGTGGCATATCCGAACATCAGACCCTGTGAGAGGTGCAGTCACAAACCACAGCATTAATAGAGGTCAGAAAAACATCATAAACTTTGTAACACCACATTTATGGCTACAGTTACCCGGTTGTGGATCATGCTCAAACATAAATCTAAAAACCCTCTGACCTGGTCACCGGCTCCCACGTCCTCCTCTTTGCGATCCATGTGAACGCCCTGAGCAATGTCGGGGGACTGCTGCTCCAAAGCCACCAGCACATTGCAGGTCTTATAGTCAAAACCTGTAGAACAAGACCGTGAGCCTCAGTAAACTGTTTCACATGACAATCCTCAGCAAGGCCCTTTTAAATATTTACTTTTATTTAAAAACTCTGATCACTCATCATGTTGACCATATAATTGTGTACGTTTGTTTATTCAAAAATGTGTAATGTCAGGTAGTCAAACCTGTTTAAGACTATCAGTGTTTTCTTAGCTGCTATATTCAAA